CATATTATTTATTGCTTTTGTCCTGGTAATAGAGCAAAGCGTAGGCAATATATTTATCCCCGCTCACAAAACACAAAATATTCTTAACTTACTAATATTGTAAATGCGTAAGTTTAGATGGATGTTTGTTTAAAAGTATCTCTGGAACGGCTCAATGGAATTTGATGAAATTTTTCACAGATGTAGAATAAAGAATACATAGGTGACTTATTAAGATTTTTTTAATTATGCACGGACGGATAATAAATATTATTTCTTATTTAAAATCCTTATATGACCTGGCCAGCTACTTCTTAATATACTTAGCAAGTTTACTGTCATAATTTAGTGGAATAGCTAACCAAGAAACATTGTTAAAATGTCAACGTTGCAGCTAAAAGCGTCACTGGCGGATTGTCTGGATTCTGTCGTGGGTTCAGATGCTTTCTCCGAAGTTTTATCTGAACTTTTATCTAATGTTTTGTCTGACATTTTGTCTGATACTTTATCAGATATTTTGTCTGTGGAATTTTCTGACATAGTTATTGGTTCGATGGTTACTGTAACGATTAGATTAGGTTAGGTCATTCAGTATTGGTTAGGTGACGTCATAAGGATAATTCTTACCTACTAGAGGTTCATCAGCAAATGAGCACATTTTAGAATAGTCTGAAGGATCGTAGGTCATTGAACCCCTTGCTATTGCTTTATTACTAATGCTTTGTCTCGCCCACAATGATGGAATTTCTGCGTCAAGTATTGGTATATCGAAAAATGTAACATTAATAGTAAAAGAAACTCTTTCAATGTCTGAAGTTTGAAGAGCTAATACTTCGACTGTAAACGTATCAACAGGAGTTTTATCAATAGACTCTTCGGGTTCTAAAACGATATCTGAAGCGGCTAATAGTTTTTGGTCTGATCTGTTCTGAAACGTAAGAAATCATGAATAGTTTAACATATTCGAATACCAAATATAAAATTAGATAATGCCATACCTTTCCCTTTTTCATATTTATAATATTATTGCAATCAGATGGCTTTAGTTGAGCTGGGCTTTGTTAGTTATTCTAAAGTCTTAAAAAGTAACATACAATACACTCAGACATAAATTGTAATGATGACGTAAATGTCATTTATTGTTTGTTTATTTCAATGGTTTATTTGGCTACAACTTTATGCCTGGTTTACATTAAGCCAGTACAGTAGGCCAGTAGAGCTCAAAAGCGCTGGCATAATGTAAACATGGCATTACGAATAAAAACTATTATACGACGATGATTTTGTACCGATTTATCTATTTCAATATTATGTTTAGTTTTTAATATCCTCTCCTTGTTAACTAATTAGCTGTTAGTACATATTACAAGTTAAAGTTACGTTAATCGGACTTTTAAGTTATTAATAACGTTTAAGTATTTAAATTATTGAATTTGAGTATTACTTGCTTTAATAACATACTTATTTTTTTATTAAAACTTAGGAATAATTGCATATAGTAGTACAAAATATAAGAATATCATTAACCTAATTATAAATTAAAATATAATCGTACTAAATAACTAACCACTACGAAATAAATGAATTATTTAATACTATATTAAATAAACTATATACTAAAACTAAACCAAACTAAAAATAAAACTAAATAATATAAAAAATCGACCCCAAATCGCTGCGGTCGCACGGTAGGGTTCCCAAGAGGCTGGCGGCATTTCCCCGTTGGAATTACATTGAACAATATCGTATATATCAAGTTATGTATTTATTCGCTGCATTTGTATGAGATGTATGTAATAGTCAATTTCTATCCTACATGATTAAATAATGATTAGTAGAAAATTGTTCGCAACGCGCATTATGGACATTCTCGATCATTTAGTTTGATTGCAACAATAGCCATGATAATGATTTTGAAAATTTATTTTGTTTTTCTACTATTTTAAAGTAGATTCTATTTAATTTTTAAGCTTTTTCTTTAGAGATATCCAAATATTACAGGACCCTTATTGTAGTGTAGCTACGAAGCCTGCAGAGGTCTAAAACCTATTTGTACTTTATATTTTAGTATATTACCGACAATTTTTAAGTAATTTTTTGGTTAATCAGTTAATGTAATATTCACAAAAATATTAAGAGATATCTATAATACATTAAGAAATTGATAAAATAATGCATTAACCGACTGTTAAACATATTTTTACACCCTCTCCATTTTTGAGTACGAACTAACGACCAACGTGGTCCCACAACTGTAAAAATGTTTTTAATTAAATGTATTATTATAGCATTAGTTATTTTTTCATAAATAGCTTTCTATGTCGAATTTAAATGACTGGAATTATATATAATTATATTTAGTACATGTTTGTCGGCAATTAAATAACAATTAGTATATAATACACGATTGGAATGACCTCTAGTTATTCTAATATTAGTGTTTTCGGGTAAATACAGATAGTTCTTTATCTAACAATGACGGTAACCGCCGCTTTGGAACTGTGCCTAATTTTATTATTATTGCAAAAAGTTAATCTTGTAGATTTACCGGTAAATAAAAACTTAAATCGATACGTAAGTAAATCATATTATTTTTACCCAAAGAAAATTATTTTTAAAGTATAAAAAAAAAAATTAACGACTAAACGAGTTTGTTAAAATTAATTGTCTTGTGCGTTTTAGGGTCCATACGATATAAGCTGGGGTCGCTATGAAACATGCAAAGGTCCAAAAGCGAATAATGTCACTGTTTACCAAACGAAACTTTTCAAAGAGAACGACATATACTATGCCTGGATAAATTTTACTTTTCTTACACAAGCACGTCTAGATGAGGTAAGGCACGTCTAGGTAGGTGAGGTAGTTTACTTATTGAAAAAAAAAACATATAAACGAATTGATAACCATCTTCCTTTGGAACACGGTTAAAAAAACTCAACACAATTCCACTGCACAAAAAATTTGCAAGAATTAAAAATGAAATTTTTCCTTTCTACTCTTTTTCTTATAAGGAAAGGATGGGAAGTGGAAGTGGACTTTCCGGATGAGGGGATGATGGAAATGATTTCTTTCTGTGTATCCTCTCCTCCGTCGAATTAAGGTAGGCAACGCATATGTAATTGCGTATGTCACTTCGCTATTTCAGTGATTTCAGGTGGCCGCTCGCTCGTTTGCCACCTTATAATATAAAAAAAAGAAACAAATTTTTTTCAGTTAAAAATAAATGTTTATGTTGTGAAAAATAACAATACTACATTATTATTAAACTACAAAGTAAATAATCTTTGTCAGCATTACGCCATCTCACTTATGATTGAAAAGGAATTAAACGCTAAGAACTGCATCGTTCAACAGGTTTGTAAATCTTTCTAATATCACAAATGTTTAGATGTTTGTTTGAAGGTATCCCCAGGACGTCTGAGCACCGCGGACGTGAGCGAAAGCGTGCCCGTGGTCCCGTCCCGATGCGTTGGAGGACAGAGGGGTTTAGTGGGTATGCCTCCGCTATGGAGGAGAATCCCACATAACTACCGCGTCCCCCCCCGGGGCGCGGAGTTTGAATAAAGCATTCCCCTCTGAAAAAAAAGGACGTCTGAGCAGGTCCCGCTGAAATTTGACACAAATGTGCATAGTGCATGCAAATGACACAATGGACATAGTCTGAAAGAACATAGGCCACTAATTAAGTTTTTTTTTACTTCCGCGCGGATGGAGTCGTGGGCGAGAGCTATTTTAAATAAATCTTGCAACATAGTTATAAATTATTTATATGGATTAAATAGATACTAAGGGATGTTTCTATAATCTTTTTGATTTCAGGGTGATTTTAGAAGCCTTGTAAATTTCACCGATGTCGCGTACAAATTTTTCGGAAAATCTTTCTTCTATGGTGAATACATACTTAAAATTACGGTTATGTCGAAAAAGGGAAACATCCTGTGTATTACGTTAAATCAGATTTTCGAGAAGAAAAAAAATCCGTAAAAAAATTATATGGCAAAAATATTTTTGAAAAGTTAACTACGAGTACTGTCTACAAAATAATGATAAATAAAAAAAGAGAATAAAGTAAAATGAAAGATCATTTCGTATTAATAAATAAACTTATAATTATGAAATGCTTATTTTCTAATACTTTGTACTTTACTATATTAATATACTAAAATTAAACATTATTTTTCGGTGGATGCTTATTTAGGCAGTAATTTATAAAATTAATTACTGGTCCATAAAGGTTTCTTGATTTATTTTGTCATAAATCGAAATTATAATTACGTAAGTATAAAATTAATTTTATAATAACTGTAAAATTACTTTTTGTTGATAATGGTGAAGTTTGTTCATTCTTAATACTATTGTATATTTTTGCTTTCAAAACTAATACTCGTTATAAATAAAAAATATTTATAAATTATTGTTAATTAACATAAATAGCACCTTCATAAAAAATAATACTTATATAAAAATTACATTTTACACCTTTCTTAGTATTTTCAAAAATGTGAAATAGTTTTCTAATTCTAATAGTTTATCATATCTACGAACACCCTGTATTCAGTTTTTCTACAAAAATTACACAATTACCTTCTTTTATTTAAACTTTTTAGAATATCCATTTATGTAAACCTTAGCCAATATATTTTACAAAGACAGAAAAATAGGAAGAACTTTTTACTTATTTCTATAAAGAATAATGTTTCAAAGAACAAAACTTTCCATAGATATCATGAGATCAATCAAAAGTTGCAAATGTATATGAATTCATTTAATGTAAAGCGAATGCATTTGTACAGCAAATTAGACTAAAACAAAAACTGAAAAACGCTTTACTGAAAATGTTTTATCGGTTTAAATTTTAACATACCAAAAAGGTTTAATAATTAACAAAATTACTTTCGAGTAATTTTTGCACAACACTTCTACTGAAACATGTAATCATACTTCTCATTCTGATATTCTAATAAAATTGAGATGACAATACTTTTGCAGATTTGTTTCTACAGTTTATTCACGGTAATGAATTATTTCCTTCCGAAGGCAATAATCAAGCTGTAGTTAGCTCTTACACTCAAACCATCTGTATTATTGTTGACGCGGTCAATAAGTCGCATATCCCGTACCACCGTCAGGTAGTCCTCCATGAAATCCTCCTGCAGATCTCTTGGGATCTTGAAAGGGTTTACTGCTGATACCGCCTCTGTGGAAAAAGAGTTATAATCAGCAAAAGGAAAATGCAAATTACGAATAAAGAACGTGGAATTATGTGAATCTATAATTAGTACCAATTGAAAATTAATTATATTCCATTCCATTTATTCTGGAATTAATACAAATGGAATGAATTAAAGGAAATTATAAGCCGTAGACTATTTAAATAAAACGGCATAGTACTTATAACGGTGTCTGTGGAATATATTTTTTTATTTATTTTTTTATCGATCGTATATTTTTGAATGATAATATTGAAGAATATTACATTTACTTACTTTTAACAGCTTCGATGCTATCATAGATGAATGATCTCTCTTTCCGTTTTACTTCAACGTCACGGAAGCCGATCTCCTCCATCATAACTCTTATCTTTTTTTCTGGCTCCTGAAAATAAATTATTCGAAATTTAAATTCACATATCGAGTTATTTATGATTGAAAATTACCACAAAGTGACAAATGCTACTAAATTAACGTTGATTTAAGATGTCCTTCCACTGTTAGCTTCTCAGTTCACTTTACTTGGATATACAATCTAAGTATAACGCGACTTACTTGAGTGTCGTGGTACGGTGAGACGAAGCGGTCGACGTCATGCAGCCACGGCCGCCAGCGGGCGCTGCGAGCGAGCACGCGGTACACGTCAAACACGGGCATGTGCCCCAGAAATATTAGCAGGCAATCACCGCCCTCCACTAGCAAATCGAAAATGTTCCTGAATGCACATCTGGAAATAAAGAAAAACATAATATTATCTATTTCATGTCACAATAAGCGTAACAGTTTGATTGCTTTTATCTCGGTATTTACCAATTAGATTTAAAAAATCCTTTTTGATTAGGTTTGACTTCCGTAGGCGTTAATAACGATTTTTGATTAAGAAACTGTGGTATATTTTTTTCCTTGAAATGATTAAAACTGGAAAGGATGATGGTACCGTAAGAATTTGCGCAATACAATACCGTTTACACCTCGACACCTTTCCTAACAAATGCAATGAATACTCAATAAGGGTGATGTTAGGATGCAGTGTCAAAGACACGGGATGCATACGATATTCGTAATATTGACCGTACTTCATATGATTATTTGCGATTTAGAATATTGTTTAGATCGGTAACGACGCGAAATAATAAAAACGAAGTAAATCCTGTTTACTTAAACAAATCTTTGAATGTAAGTGGTGGCAACCATAACGTTTTGTTTGTGTGGAGAGAAAATAACAATAGTCGCAGAATATATTTTTTTCATGAAACTTATCACCTTTTCACCGTGACACATGTCTATTATCTTGGTAGGCAATATTCAGTCCACACGAGGCATAATTTTTATCGTAATTGAGATTGTGTATTTGTTACTTATTTTTTAATTAGTTTTTCGATTTTAGGATTAAATTTTTGTGACATTAAAAAATGTATGTTTACAATTAAAGTGCGCAAAATTAAAAAAAGTTTCTTCTATTGTATTATTAATTTAAATTACTTACTCTTGCCGCTTGATCCAATGCAGGGTGTAGAAAGAAAATGCGTGATCGAAACATTCTCTCAAGTCTCTCGGCAGCTCGCTCTCAATATCCATCACACGGAAGCAGTTGCGGCTGTTGGCGTGGTGTCTGTTAGCATGCTGGACCATATTCTTGCTGATATCGCATCCGATAAGTCTGCCGTAATTATTTGGTATATATCTTCTTAGTATATTAGACGTCACACTGCCGTCCCCACATCCTATATCTATTATCCGATCATTGTAGTTCCTCCATTTAATTTTAATCGCGTACTCTTCTAAGCATTCTACTGCATCTCTTTTTTGTAAGGTGTTACTCTTTTTGTATAATTCAGCGTCGTCGTTCATTTTGGCTCTATCAACGAATTGCTTTTGACGATCGCTTCTTTATTGGATATTTAAAAAAATCAAAATTTGTTTTTTAAATCGTATTTTTTTTGGGCGCGCGTGCGCTGGATCGCCGCGTTCGGCGCGGTTTCGGCGGGCAGTCACGGCAGGAGCGGGCACCGTATGTATTTATACAAGCCACCGACGCACCGGCGCGGCGTCGGCTTTTGCGCCGGTCCAGTGCCGAATCAGGATATATAGGATGTGCTGGATACACCTGAAAATTTAATTTGGTAATTAAAAAGCGTTGATCGAAACCCCGTCCCCATCAAAGCTGTGATATTTATTACGTCTTAAGAGCAGGACTTAACATTTAAAATAATTATCCTACTTTTTGTGAAAAAGCTTTAACGCAAAAGAAAATTTCAAAATATATTTGTGTAGCTCTGGTGAAATATATCTCCAAAGTAAATATAAATATCACAGCTTTCAAATAAAAATTTACACAAAGACTCAAACGAAATAAGTGAACATATAATTTGTTAATTTAAAGGATAATAATTTGAAAGCTCTTAAAGCTTTCAAATCAACAAAGCTTTAAACACTACGTATTTAAACTGTAGAGGTTTTATTGGACGTAATATGAAGATATTTCTAAATAAAGTGTGAACATCTTAAGAACAATGAAAATGCTATTTATCAACCTCACATATAGTGCAACGATATCATATACATGAGTGGCTATGAGTAGTGTCATAATGATTTATACAATGTTACTTAGGTTTTTTTTAGTTTTTCAGTCAAAGAAAATCGTATCTATTTTCTATAAATCATATCGGGAAAGTTACACAAATATTACAGTATACTGTTAAGTTGAGATAAAAAGGTGTATTTGTAACTACTACATCTTTTTTACTGTAAGAGTTCTATTTTGTAATGGTTGACATATTCGACCTCTATGGTAGGCAAGGACCTCTTTGGTAGGCAAGGAACTCTTTGGTTTACCGAAGGGGTTTGCACGAACGCGTACTTATAGTATTTTAATATTTTTGGTTAAATAAAATTTAAAGGATATGCAATTGAATTAAATTTATTAACTAACAAGCTGTTTTAATAGTAAACTATCCAAGTTCTATTTGATAAAGAACAAATGGAAAATTCTATTGTTTACCGGATGGAGTTTGAGGAAATATTGATTTCGTCATTTTAAAGACGTAGATATGAATGGAAAACCCATGATTGTGATCAGTACTGAGTGTTTTTCTTTTAGGCGTTTTGTTACAACAATGTAACTAAATTATTTCATGTACACATCCGAAAATAGAGTGGATTATCTGTTAGTTTGATCGTTGACTCGTTCCTTGTGCTTCGATGTTCTATTGTGATGTGGCCTTCATCTCAAACTATTTTTATTCTTTTCATTATTTAAGTTTCCAGCTACTTATGTACGTGTACTTGCTTAATATTGTGTTTTGACATCGCTCAGTTTATTATATATTTTGTTAGAAAGAGATCTGTAAAGTTTTTTTAACATAACATATGCAAATTTTTGGTAGATTATAAGTTTTTGTTCTTATCTGACTTAAGAAAAATATTAAAATCCAAGACTTGTAAAATATTAGTCTAAATCAGAAAGAAGTGGTGAAAGTAATGTCGCAAGAAGTTTAAGTCGAAATAGAGAGAGGTAAAGAGATAGTTTGTAATCTTAGTATTGACATATATTATCAGTATTGCTGTCAGAAAACGTAGAAAATCTATAAAATGTACGATAGTTAAAAATATGGGCAAACGAAAAAAAAATAGTTTTATGGTTTGGATTCTACATTTAAGAAAAAAAAGGTCAGGACAAAGCAACTTAAAGTTTTATGTCGATCATTTCTATCTTCGGAGATTTTCCCAGAGAACGGAAGTCTTGACTTCAAAGCAAAATACTAAATAAAAATCGAGTTTTGAAATCGTCGCCGAATCTGAAGTTAGGGATTATCATAAATAAATATAAGTGTATACATTTCTTTAAGATATTATTCGGTTGATAAATTAATTTTAAATTCAAATTACGGACCTTTTTTTTTTCTAATGTATGTTATAAAAGCATTGCGACAAAAGCCTAATAACTAAAAAAAAAAAAGAAAATGTCATGAAAAATAGTCATATTAAAATAATTTTAGTCACCCATGTCGCAACGTGAACGACAGATGACTAAAGTGGCGCCATGTTTATTATTTAAAGAATACAATTGTTATGTTAATCTCACGTAGATAATATTTCAGATTTAGTAACGTGTATGCCATTTTATTACTAAAATAAGCTTATACCTTAAGTCACCTTTGATATTTTGGTATGGGTATAGATTGGGCTTAAGTGAAGGCTAAACCCATTTATGTATTATAATTTAAATAATTTCAATGTATACCTTTACATAATATAAGCATTATTCAGTTAGAAATTTTGTCATTTTTATATCATAAGGGAAATGAGCAAGCGACCAGCTGAATTCGCTGAAATGGCGAAGCGACCACCATCTAAAATATCTAAAAGGCGGGAAGTAAAGAATTGGTCAATGTATTTGTAGGCTGCTCGTAGGCGCTGCTTACTTGACCCACGGTTGTTGAACGATTAACTTAATCCACGTGCTTGGGTCTTCGTAAAAGGAAAACATAAATCTTTGGAACTAAATTGAATTGTCGATACAAATCGTCTATTTGGTTATTACAATAATAGATATGATAGTTAATACTCTACGACTAACCTGAATTTACATACTGTCAAATCAATACGAGTATATTGCCGTGCGATATTGAAAATCACTGCAACTTTTTGCGACGGTCTCGAAAACAGGTAGCTAGGAACAAAATGTAAGCGAAGCATACCTGGGTACGAACCGCTATGCTCTTAACTGAAACCGCCGGGTTTCGAAGATTTACTGAGCTTTGTGAGCGAAGGGCCTAATCCTACGTAAGGACAAAAACTTTAATAATAAAAATTGTAGTGCCTACTTGGCCCGCGAATTAGTCCGCACAAAAAACCTTAATAAATAGCTTATGTATTCTTTCATACTATGTACTACATAGGTGCCGAATTTCATCAAGATCCGAGAAGTCGTTCAAGAGTCACCTTGTTGCAAACATCCATCCATCTATCCATCTATCCATTAAGATAAATGGAAATCTCTTATATTGAAGATATCAATTAGTAGTAGCAAGTACAGCTATTTTGTTATTTCAGTGTTTTCTTTTCGATGAGTCTATCAAATAAGTAAACCTAGAAAAGATAGAAACCTTTAATTTTTCCTACTGCCTTTTTCTCTAGTATCTCTTCCCTTCTTCTTCTTAACATCTTCCCATAACAATTCTAACCTTCACGCTTTTCACTTCGGTCTACCAAAAAACTTAATTCATCAAATATACGACAATCCATAATTGGTTATCGAAAAATTAATCCACGAAGTCTAAACCACTCAAGAATAAGTATATATATAAATGTAAGCGTGTTCAATCTTTGCTTAAATTTGGATTACGTGTACGACCTACCCATCATGACCTTAGTTACGTTAAACCGCCTGTACCTCGCGCACCATTACATACCGTCGCGTATTTATCGCGATTTATTGCAAATTCGTCTCTATAGCCATCCTTAATTTTATTATATCACTTTGTACAGCACATTGATAACGTAAGATCGTATGTGCAACAATAATTTAAAATAACATCAATTAAATTAATTATAAGGTCCTTATTCCCTGATGAAGGTAAATAATTCAACAACAATAAAGAAGTTTGAATTATAAATGTTGTGAACACATTTTCATTATAATATATGTGTATTAAGATTCAAATTCGTCTGTGCGTAATATAAAATTGTCATGCAGCTCACAAGTTTGGGCAGGATTCAGGTATTGACGATCTTCTTTGACCGACCACGAAAAAGTGCATTGCCCTGCGCCTGCGCCTGTGTCGGTGTCTACCTTTTTGTTATCGTTTGTTCGCGTCTCGGTATCTACACAGCTGTGTTAGGAGTCTTGACCTAGCCTAATGCGATTTGTATTGATGCCCCGATGTCCATTCAACGATGCAACTACTGACATACACGTGATATTGAATGAATAATGGCCTGAGAAAAATTATAGAAGTGATACATAGAGCAATGTCGTATCACTCTACATATAATGTTTATTAACCTTAGTATACTGAAAATAACATATAGCATTTTGTGTCTATATTTGGATTATATATGTTGTTCTTTTTCCTCAAAAATCTATAATCTATGAAATAATATGTCTTAGGTAATTTCTTTTGATTATCATAAGCATGCAATTTTTGGTACATTTCGCTTTGCTTATAAGTCGTTAGAGAGAAAGACACGATCGTTCTCGTCCAAAATTAAAGATATATAAATGCGGTTGCAATCCGAGGCGTTTTGGTAAAGTGCAACGTGCATAATCTAAACTTGAAATTCAAGGACGAAGTTAAAAACCCGACGAAAAAAATTCAAGGCGGTGCATCCATACGTTATATTGCAAGTGCACTGCACATACGGGTACCTGGATTACACTTGCTTGATACTTGAACATAAGAAATCGTTTCATACTGTATTTCGTACATACGAGTAATTTAACGTCATACATTCAAGTTTAAGTAACAAGCAAAATTCATGTCAATCGTTTTTAATCAGTTAACAGCTGTAATTCAAGTTCAAGTAAGTTTTGCAAAAGATACTTTAAATAATTTCTAAGCATATTTTGAAATTATTTAAAATACATTTATATTATATTTATTATTTATATTACAAATAAGATATTTTAGTATAATAGTTTGATGGATAATATTTTATTAAAGGTAATACAATTACTAAATACATTTTTCTAACCGTGAGCATCGCCGATATACGCTTACGAAAGGTTACACATCTGTTTATTTAATGATAATGAAAATTAATATATTATATATAATATGTTTTGGCGGTGAAACATTACGGTTACGTTTTTCCTAATTTTGGTGAACAATTTATTAATGATGTTTCATGAAAATCGATTAAAAACTCAAAGAATAATAAGAAGTTTGTTATTAAAGCACTTCGGTAGTATTAAAAGTTGGTATATTGCTTTAAAGTTTTATTATATTCTTTTCTTTTTGATTACTGTAATTATTTGAGGGGCAGGTTATGTTACCTTTCTCTTCGAAACACGACTGTTCCTGATTTAAATCCATTAAGATATTGACCTTATTCAAAACTTGGATAATTGAAATACTTTTTAAAAATTTAAAGTGCTTACATTTA